TTATATTACATTACACAGTTGCCATCATAGGCTGTGTAATGTACCTAGGGGGCAATTTATAAGATTGCAATGCAATTGCTCCTCTGAATTTCTTCAACAAGTAAAAGCAATAGACAGACCACTGTTGGTCAGTAATTCCAGTCAAAGAGCAGTAAGGGATAGGCAAGATTTTAGTATTCTATTGGATTATAATATGCAGTGTAGGGAGATTGAAAAGATTATCAGTAAATATTGGAATATTTTACAAATTGATAAGGTGTTAGTTCCGTTATTACCATTATTTCCTAAGTTCGCCTACAGGAAAACACCTACATTGAGGGACAGGATAGCTCCTGGCGTACTAGATCACCTTACTCTTACCTTACCACCCCGTGCCCCCCCCATCCTCTCCATCACTACTAGCAACGCCACCATCTCTCCCACCCCACACGCCCAAGTCCTGGGTGTCACCCTGGACTCCCACCTCTCCTTCCTACCCCACATCCAACTGCTATCTAGATCTTGCAGGCTCCACCTCTGCAACATCTCCAAGATACGCACATTCTTCACCCCAGACACCACCAAACAACTCGTACACTCCCTCATCATCTCACGCCTTGACTATTGCAACTCCCTTCTCACTGGCCTACCCAAACGAACGCTATCCCCACTCCAGTCGATCCTAAACTCAGCGGCCAGACTCATCCACCTCACCAAGCGCTCCACATCTGCCTCCCCCCTCTGCCAATCCCTTCATTGGCTCCCGATTGCCCAACGCATCAAGTTCAAGCTGCTAACCCTGACCTACAAGGCCATTCACAATGCCGCCCCAAACTACATAACTGACCTGATACCCAAATACTACCCTACCCGTGCCCTCCGCTCCTCACAGGACCTCCTGCTCTCTAGCTCCCTGGTCTCCTCCTCCCACGCCCGATTGCAGGACTTCTCCAGGACTTCCCCCATCCTCTGGAACTCCCTACCCCAATCCATCAGACTGTCACCTACCCTCCTCACCTTCAGGCGCACCCTGAAAACCCTCCTCTTCAGGAAAGCCTACCCCAACCTCACCTAACAACCTCCTCCACTCCACCCACCACTCCATCCCCCACAGCCATCTCCTCCTGTACCACTATCCCCTCCCTCCTAGATTGTAAGCTCGAAAGAGCAGGGCCCTCGAACCCCTCGTGTAGTGTATTGTTACTGTCTTGTCTCATGTTATGTCCCCCTGGCTACTGTACAGCGCTGAGCATACCCTTTGGCGCTATATAAATACTGTATAATAATAATAATATTAAGAAGAAAAATGGCTTATTACAAATGTGTAGCTTGTAGATATACCACATCAATATTAAGAGACTTAAGGATTTTGTAGCCACAGCAACAGGCAAAAATTACAAAATAAGGGATCGCATTATTACATCTACATCTAAAGGAATAATATATATGATTGAATGTCCCTGTAAAATTCAGTATGTGGGCAGGACATCTAGACCGCTTCAAGTTAGAATGAGAGAGCATGTGAATAATATTAAGAAAGGGGAAAAAAAATCAGTGTCTCTAAACATTTTAGAGATCACCATATGAAGGATCCCAGCTGTTTGAAATTTTGGTATATCAAAAAGGTTACAAGAAACTAGAGGGGGTGTAATTATGTGAGGAGTCTGAGTCACAGAGAATCTTTTTGTACTTATGAGACTAGAGTATTATCTCCAAAAGGTCTTAATATGGATTTTTACTTGAATTGTTTTATCAGTGACCGTTAATTGTTTATTCTTCACCTGGATCCTGTTTTACACATTCTAATATTGTTATATTCTAGAAATTAAATATGTTAATATAACAGTTTTTATATATATATGTTTTGTTTTTTATAGTTTTATTGGTATATAATTGAGTACTGTCCGTGATACTTTTTTTATTTGCACTAACATACAATTTTGAGGACAAGCTTTCGGGGAAAGTCCCCTTCTTCAAAGTCCAAAAAGTACTATTACAGATCACAAAGTTTAAGCAGAATGTTAGAAGGGATTGAGAAAAAAAAAAAAGGCTACAGATAAGATACATCAAAAGCGAGGGGGGGATACTACACTCACATAGAGGGGGTCAAGCTTCAGCTAATAGATAGTCATGAAACTGTTGGATAATGGTTGAGGAATCCCATGTCCAAGTTAAGGCCGTTATCTTTTGTGTCAAATAGAATTATCATTCTTAGTTCAAATGTTTTTCTTTCCTGGATAGATTTCAATTTTCCTTTCAGAACTAAAACATTGAGGTCTTCCATATTGTGGCCTGGTTGTGTGAAATGGTGTCCTACAGGTGTGCAGAGGTCACCTTCTTTATGTTCCTTGATGGTATGTCTGTGCAGATTCATCCGTGTTTGCAACTTCTGTCCTGTTTCGCCAACATAAGATCCTTTGCTGCATTTTCTGCACTGGATAAGGTACACAACATTACTGGAGGTGCAGCTGTATGATCCGGAAATATTGAAGATCCCTTTTGAGTGTCTGACACTTTTTAATGGATTGATTTGGTTGCACAGTTTGCAGCGTTTTTTATTGCAGGGTTTGCTTCCATTATTTGTGACATCATAATCAGAAGGAAGTTTCCTACTGATTAGTTTATTTCTGAGGTTGGGGGGTTGTCTGAAAGCCAGTATTGGGGGTTGCTGGAATATTTCTTTCAGCGTTCCATCCTCTGTTATGGTGGCTTGTAAATCTTTGATTATTTTTCTTATTCCTTCTAGTGCTGGGTTGTATGTAGTTACTAGAGGTACACGGTTGTTTGTTTTTTTCTCTTTGTACTGAAGTAGATTTTCCCTTTGTGTTCTCAAGGCTGTGTTTATGCCGGTGTTGATAGTTTTGTCCTTGTAACCTTTCTTATGGAAGGCGTCTGCTAGTGTCCCGAGATGTTTATCTCTGTCTCTTGGGTCAGAACATATTCGGTGGTATCTAATGGCCTGACTGTGTATGATGGCACGTTTCGTTTGTTGGGGGTGGAAGCTGGAACTGTGGAGGTAGTTGCATCTGTCAGTGGGTTTCCTGTATATTGAGGTGTGAAGCGTATCATCCCTGATGTATACTGTGGTGTCTAGGAAGTTGACGTGTGTGTTTGAGTATTCCATTTTTAGTTTGATAGATGGATGAAAAGTGTTGATCAATGAGTAAAATTGTTTTAGGTTTTCTTCACCTTCTGTCCATATGATGAAAATAACATCAATATAGCGATAGTATCTGTATGGTTTTTGTTCCATGCTGTTCAGGAATTGTTCCTCCATGTCAGCCATAAATAAACTGACATATTGGGGGGCCATTTTACTTCCCATCGCAGTGCCCATACATTGAAGATAGATGTCCTTATTGAAAAAAAAGTAGTTGTGTGTAAGTATGAATTCAATGAGCCGTGTAACATCCTCAGCAGTGTATTTGTGGTTTAGTGAGGATGATAAGGATCTGTGACATGCAGCTAATCCATCCTTGTGAGGGATATTACTATACAGGGATACTACATCCATAGTCACTAGAAGTGTATTAGATGGTAATTGCTGTATGTTGTTGATCTTGTTCAGAAAGTCAGTTGTGTCTTGCAGGAAACTAGCAGTATTCTTGGTTTTAAAAATTTTTCTACAAAGCCTGAGATTTGTTCAGTGAGTGTATTCATACCTGTTATGATGGGTCTGCCTGGATTTCCTGGCTTGTGGACTTTGGGCAGCATGTAGAAGTCCCCGATTTCTGGATGATCCGGAATCGCATTTATAAGTTCTGATTGATGTATAGAATTACCTATAAGATGGCCACATGATCACAGTAGTACAATTTTTAGATTTTTTGGTTGATTATGTTTGACTTACCAGTCTATTGTCCCTGTTTCAGGAAGGTAGTATGTCACCCTTTGGGTCACTGAGGGTTCTCTTCCTGTTGCCTTTGTTCCAGTGTCCCTTGGTGTCCATTAGTTCATTTAATTGATATGGGACAGGCAGGGATAGTATTTTAGTAGCAGGTTCTAGCGTTGGCTCCATGCCTACTGAGGAAGTACTGCCCAGGACATAATGTGTATAGGGGGCGGAGCCACGCACGTGACGTTATCCCGCAGCCATCTTGTTGACTATTGGCAATGTGATTTTATGCTTGTATTCCCACATGGTGGAGTGCCTTATCCTGTAAGTGATATTCCACTTTTTAGCAGCATTAAATCTATTTATACGGAGCGCACTATGGGCCGTCTCTTTGTTCTTGTATGATGATTATGGATGTTTGAGTTGTAAGGGAACAGAGAAGAGCAGCATTGGGATTAAGAATTTATTTATGCCCTTAAAGGGAAAGCGCTTTTGACCTTCTTTTGGCTCAGTGGTCATTCTCTGAAGGTTTGCGGCCAATTGTTTTTTTTTTTTGGTGGAGATGGTTAACACACAGGTGTTATGTTAAGAAGACTGAAAACAACCACTACTAGGTGGCTGGATATTGAGACTTTTATGACGTTCTTACAAGTTTATTGTATGGTTGCGCTGCACTATTTTTTTTTTTGTTTGCAAAATATTATATGTTATATACTCCACACTGCAGCAATTTATAAATTGTATGTTGTATATTCTACTTTACTCTGTCATATACACTGTGTTATGTGTTATATGCTCCTCTGTATCACTGCTTTGTACATTAAATGCTTTTGTGTACTGTACTATACATTATAAACCCTGCTCTCTTCTTTTTCCCAGTTTAAATCACTGCAAGCCTGACTGGTAAATGATCAATATTCCTCCTGTTCCCAGAATGAACTTCTCCTGCTCATAAATAAAGAAAACATTTTAAACTTATTTATAATTTATGTTTACATGTATTTAATTACAATATAATAACATTTTAACTAAGACTGAATTGGGAATTATGACTGATAATGATTGGGAATAACAACTGTCAACCAATTCCAGGCAAAAAAAAAATAACACTTTATGGCTAGCAAAAGTAGCATATATAAACATTGTTCTATTGATTGCTTTTTACTTATTGTCACTTTTTTTTCAGATAACTCAACAGATAATAAGCACATGACAGTAAAGTTTGTGCAAGACACTTCCAAATTCTGGTATAAGCCGGATATTTCAAGAGAACAAGGTATATGTCACTGAGTACTTTATTTCAGTTTCTAGACGGGAGATGAAAGTGGTTCATATTAAATGATTAGATCAAATTGTTCACAATTCTTTTTCCCATTACTATATAATTATCCCTTTGTATAACATAAAATGTAAAAATAATCACACAATCGTGCAATTTTTTAATTACCCTGTCTACAGCATTCCTATAGACTTGACAGTGGACACTGAATTTTAGGAGCTGAAAATAATTAAAGCGGAGCTCCAGGCCCCCCCAAAAGAATTAAAAGTCAGCAGCTACATATACTGTAGCTGCTGACTTTTAATATAAGTACACTTCCCTGTTCAGGAATCCAGTGATGTTGTCACCCGAGCCGTTTCTTCCGTCAGCTTCGGGTCCAGGTGCTGGCTTCTTCAGTAAGGGAAACCAGCAGCGAAGCCTTTCGGCTTGGCTTCACCCTTTTGGGTGAAGTTCCGCTTCAGGCTGACTTATTCACATGCAGTGAATTTAACAGCACACGTTTTACCAGATATTAGTAGATGTGGTGTGTACAGCAGATACTGATGGCAAATTTCAAGAAAAATTATGCTTCAGTGGTCTGTTAGTGACCCTAAACAAGACATAAGGGGCAAAGGGTCATGTTTTTAAAGCGGTAAATTCAGCATTTCCCAAAAATATATTTTTTAAATCAGAAATATAGTTTATTGAACAAAGCAAAGACATGTTCCAGAGTATCTGTGTCACAATAGCAGCCTTCAGCAAAAATAACAGTCAGCCTAAAGATGCACATTCTTACAAGTTATGCAGACATAGTACAGAGTGAAAAACAGATGTCATGTCAGCAGCTTCATCCTCCACTGGCCTACAGACAAGGCGAGAGGAGAACATCATCTCAATAAAAGTACAAGTAGTGCCCAGGAGGAAAAAAAAATTTGAGGGGCCCAAACATAGCCTAACAGACTTGGTAACACTCCACTGGTGCTAGGCCAGGTACCGACAGCCAATCAGCCCATATTTTGTCAAATTTATCCGGGCATCCCCTGTGTTTCTGTATAAATTTTTCAAAGCGCAGAATGGTATTCCTAATGGCAATTCAGTCCTGAGTGGATGAGGGCAAAGAGCTCTTCCAGCGCAATAAGAGCACCTTGCAAGCCTGAAATAGGGCTCTAGACACCACCTCTTTAACAAAAGCATCAGAGATCACAGGGTCCGGAACGCCCAATATGCAGGACAAGGGATCCAAAGATAAATTAAATTGATAAGCCTCGTTAATTATGCCTAGGACACTGTCCCTGTATCTATGGAGCTTGGGACACCACCACAACAGGGATCAGGTCCCCATGACCTCAGTGAACTCGGTGTAGAGCTTTTCACCCTGAGGTCATCACAGAGGACAAGGGGGCACTCTTTATGTCTGCAGGAAAAGAAATGTAATCTCCAAACACGGAAAGGTTTCTTCACAGTGAGAGCTGTGAAAATGTGGAATAGACTCCCTCAAGAGTTGATTCTGGCCAGCTCAGTGGATTGCTTCAAAAAAGGCCTGGATTCTTTCCTAGATACACAGAATATAACTGGATACTAACATTTATAGGCAAATTTGATCCAGGGAATATCCGATTTGCCTCTCGGGGGATCAGGAAGGAATTTTTTTCCCTGCAGGAGCAAATTGGATCATGCTTTTCTGGGGGGGGGGGGGGGGGGGGGGGGTTGTCTTCCTCTGAATCAACTGTGGGTATAGGATTAAAAATTTGTTTTTTTTATATGGTTGAACTGGATGAACCTTTGTCTTTTTTCAGGTAGACTATGTAACTATGAAAGATCCTAGTGGGGAATTGTGTAGGAGGTACAGTAACTGGGGTATAAGTGTCATTTTAACTTGAGTCGGCCCGGTCTATTAGAGAGATCCACAGTTTCCGCCATACCAGTAGCTTTTAAGCTGCAGATTAATATTGAGTCCCAAATAAGTAATTGTTCTGTAAATTACTATGCCCAGGTATTTAAAGTTAGAAACAATAGGTACCGGACACGCTGGGGGAAGAATAGGAGTCATTTGGCTGTTTAGATCCAATAGAGCAGACTTGGACCAGTTAATAGTTAAAGCGATTCTAATGGTTCATGTTTTTTTTTTTAAATAACAAACATGTCTGTACTTACCTGCAGTGTGCAGTGGTTTTGCACAGAGCAGCCTGAATCTTCATCTTCTTGGGCCCCCCACAGGCTCTTCTGGCTCCTCCTGTCTGCCAGGTGTCTCCACAGCAAGCAACTTGCTATGGGGGCTCCCGTTGCTCCATGTGTCCATTCACACACGGAGCTGCAGCTTTTGCACGCCCCCCCCCCTCCTCATTGGCTGACTGACACTGAGTGACGGTGGAGGAGGCAAAGAACCGGAACAGCCGAGGCTGTCATTCACATCGCTGGATTGCAATGAGGCTCAGGTAGACTCAGGTAGGTATTGGGGGGAGGGGGGCTGTTGCACACAGAAGGTTTTTTACCTTCATGCATAGAATGCATGAAGGTAGAAAACCTTCAGCCTTTACAACCACTTAAACATGAGTACAGGCCAAATTCCCCTATAATATCCATTACAGCTTCTAAGGAGGAGAAGAGTCCACTAGCAAAAGCAGCATTTCGTCTGCATATAGTAGCAACTTTTCACAAACTTCACTATATTGAAAACCCTGGATAGATGACATTCCCCAAATATTTACTGTATAGTAAAACACTTTCACCAGAAATATTTACTTGCAGTGACATTTTAGTGAATATCACATTCACTGCTTTATAAATATATTGCTAAGAAGGTTAGCTGCAGATTTGCATATAAATGATTTTTATGTACATATCAACGTTATATTAATATGTTGATAATATATTGTTGTTATTACCCCCTCCTGACCTCTGCCTTTTTTGTGTGGCAACTGCTTCCATACCCCTCCTGATCCCTGCAATATAGACACTATGTTGTACATTCATATTCCTGGACACTGCACTATAGACACTATTTCATACTGCTGACCACTGCACTCTATGCAAGTTCTTCATATAGGCTGTGCACAGAAAAGAAAAAGTTTTTTTTCTTGTGGCACAGTAATAACAAGCATGGGAATTGGCTTACTGATTTTCCCAGAAGTATGCACTAAGATAGACGTCAGGTTTTGGACATCCCCTGCAACAAAAATGTCATTTTCAGTGAGATACTCTCACAGGGAAATCACGTCTAAAGGGATTCAGACCCTGCCACTTTCCTCATTAGAACCCTGCAAGTGCAGCCACTGATTGATGATTATAAAGTCACTCATATTCACTCTGCCCATGGACACAGACAAACAGCTATTTCTTCTGAGTAACAAAAGGTCAGAATCCGCAACAAAGATTGTGTAAAAATCCTTGCAATGTTCATATTGTAGATCACCCAGAGGGTAATGTTTTCTTTTCTCAACAAGAGTGGAGTTACTCTATACCATATATATATATATATCATACCATACTATACCATAAATACTCATATTTTGCTGGTAAAAGGACTTTGCGTGCTTTGTATACAGCGAGTAGGCTCAGGTTTTAATTAACCATACTTCTTTAAGTTCCTCCCAATGTGGCGCATCATTTTTGTTTAGGGATGTGTCATGAAAATTATACTTACCCAAGCCACTGCTTGCATGCATTAAATAAGAACCTTGAGCAATTGAATTTCACTGTATTAAACTATTGACAAATAAAAAATTCCCCACCCCTTTAATTTTAAATTCTGCAAAAAGCTTTATCGCTAGATATTGGAAACAACAGACCAAATATTGGAAACAATCTTCAAGCATAAGGCTATGAAAAGAAAATGTTTGCCCAGGGTCCAATCAGTATTAAAGATGGCCCTGGTATCACCTAAGGGTAATCACATCTGTGGGGTTATGTAAGTATTTATTGCTACTTTAGGTTCTCAGAAACAATACTGCACTGTTACTCCTGTGTAAAGTATTTATATGTGAATCCATCCAATATTTTGTATTACTTTTAGCAATATTTTCTATATAACAAAAACAGCCTGTCTATCAATGTAAAAAATATCTGGGAACAAAATATATTCTCTGAAAAATATTTTGCTTAGCTAGATATGGTTAGAAATACAAGAAATAATTGTCCTTAATACTTGTGTTTTTAAAACCTAAATGTGACTCATGAAAGATGTGCTTGTTTGACATGATGGTGTTAATCATATTTTTTCCGTTTTTATAGCTATCGCAGTTCTTAAGGACAAAGAACCTGGTTCCTTTATTGTTAGAGATAGTCATTCCTTCAGAGGAGCCTATGGATTGGCTATGAAAGTAGCTACACCACCTCCATCTGTAATGCAACTGAACAAGAAAGGTATGGCTTATGAGTATATTTAAGTGATATTAAAAGCAGTTTTTATTTTTAAAATAACAAACATGTTGTACTTCTATGCTCTGTGCAGTGGTTTTGCACAGAGTAGCCTCGATACTCCTCTTTTTGGGTTCCCTTCTGGTGCTCCTAGCCCCTCCCTCCTGCCTAGTGCTCCCCATTGCAAGCAGCTTGCTATGGAGGCACCTGAGCCAGCTCGGTCCCTAGCCGCTGCTCTGTGTATCCATTCACGCACAGAGCGCAGCTCAGGCCCTCTTCCCTGTCTGTACTCATTGGCTCACTGGCTGTGATTGATAGCAGCAGGAGCCAATGGCTCCCGCTGCTGTATCAGCTAATGAGGAGGGAGAGACCCGGGGGGAGCTGAGGCTCTCGTACACATCGCTGGAATGAGATGGGACTCAGGTAAGTTTTGATGGGAGGCTAGGGAAGGAGCTCCTGCACACAGAAGGTTTTTTACCTTCATGCATAGAATGCATGAAGGTAAAAGAAAAAAAAAAACTTGTGCTTTTTACAATCACTTTTAAGGTGTTGTGTACATAGAAACTATTTTACATTCTGTATGTGTACAAAATTATTTCATATGACTATGAACAATCTTCCTACCTATCTGATAAGGTCACAAATTACAGAACCCTTTCCCACACCTGCAATATTAGTTACTCTTATTTTTGAATTATTTATTTTACATTACATTTGTACAGTTAGAAATGGTGGCTAGATTCCAAAATCAAAGTGGCATCATTTTGAGGATTTGACATATTATTATTATTATTATTGTTATTATTATTATTCAGGATTTATATAGCACCAACAGTTTGCGCAGAGCTTTACAATATAAAGGAGACAGTAAAATTACAATACATTTCAGTACAAAAGGAATAGGAGGGCCCTGCTCATGGAGCTTACAATCTAAAGGACATATTAAAGGTATTGTAGGGATTTGAAGGTTTGTGATGTTTGCCTGGCATCAACATATTGACTTGTATGACAAAGAAAACAAAGCACAAATTGGTCTCAAAATAGGAAGACTTATTGAAGATATTTGAATAATGATTTGATGAACAAAATTACATCACTTCTTTACAGGTACTAAACGATAGCTAACAACTGATACAAATATGAAATATTGGTCAAATTAGTTTTCTAACTTTGTGTTTGATGATCGAATGTTTTTGCAGTATGCAGCAAACCTTTGTCTAATATTCTACTGTCTCCCCAGCCAAAGACAAAGCTTCATTGAGCTGTATTTTGAGATCTATTTAGCTATTTTCTGTTTTAGGGTTTTTCTCAATGTCATTTTCCCTCACATTACAGTTGTGCTCAACCCTTGGAGAATTGGTAATATATTGTATGTACTATTTTAAAGAAAACATGATCCGCAAGCAAAACACATTCCTTTTATTTCTTATGGTATTCATATTCAACTGTATGTCATAACAAAATGGCAAAATCATAAAACATAACATGGCAGCAAGTAAACAACTGAAATGACCCCTGTTCAAAAGCCTGCATACCCTTATTTCTTAATACTGTGTACTTCCCCCTTTAGCATCAATGACAGCATGCAGTCTTTTGTAATAGGTGTGCATGAGGCCCCAAATTCTTTCAGGTGGTATAGCTGCCCATTCGTTTTGGAAAAATTCCTCCAGGTCTTGCGAAGTCTTTGGTTGTCTTACATGAACCGCACATTTGAGATCTCCCCAGAGAGGCTAGATGATAGTAAGGTCCTGACACTATGATAAACCTCTCCAGAACGTTCACCTTTTTCTGCTGTAATCACTGTAGAGTCAACTTGGCCTTAGGGCACTGTTATGCTGGAAAGTCCAAGACTGTCCCATGCGTAGCTTTCGTGCAGAAGAATGCAAATTGGCAGCATTTTTCGGTCACATGCTTGCCATCAATTTACCCTGTGCCTTTTGGAGCTCACCCCGCCTCCCCAAAAAAAAACATCAGTGAGCCACCACCATGCTTCACAGTGGAGATGGTATTCTTGTCGCTATAGGCCTTGTTGACCCCTCTCTAAACATATCGCTTATAGTTGTGGCCATAAAGCTCTATTTTGGTCTCGTCACTTGCCTATTTCTGGCATCTTTATACAGCTAATTTTTGTTCACTTTTCATCGTATTGTGCTCCTTGAAGCAACCACACCATCTTTTTCCTAAGCAGCCTGTATCTCTCCTGAGTTTACCTGTGGGTTTTTCTTTGTATCCAAAACAATTCTTCAGGCAGTTGTGGCTGCAGTTTTTCTTAGTCTCTCAATACCTTGGCTTGGCATCAAGAGATCCCCGAATTTTTTCACTCCTTAATAAGTCATGGAACAGTACTGACTAGCATATTCAAGACTTTTGCTAATTGCAGTCAGCACATAAGCAGCACAAAGCCAGAGCTTCAACATAGCTGAATCATCCTGCAAAGATCCTAGTGAGCCCTGGTTGGGCCTTTGCTCAGCCCTGCTCCCAAACCATTCCTCATTACTGACTAGTTGGGGCTGTCACCGGGCTAAGTTTGCTAGGGTCCACCGCAAGGTGGGACCTGCGTAAATCACTCAGATTCTCAAGGCGTGGCCGAGGAAACCCAGCAGAGTCAGACTACAGGGAAGGAGAAGCTTTTTCTTCATTCAAGCCCACTACCTTGAGGTAAAGCCTTTAGGGCTTTCAACTGCTGATAATATGGCAACCTTCATAAGGCAGATAATGGTAGCTATACATCAATGCCCAAGTACATTGATGGAACACATAGGATTGCTCTTTGTGCAGACAAGATTTGCAGAATATTCATATACAGTGGGGAAAATATTTAACCCCCTGCAGATTTTGGAAGTTTGCCCACTTATAAAGAAATGAAGGGTCTATGATTTTTATCATAGGTGTATTTTAAATGATACAGACAAAATATCAACCAAAAATCCAAAAACAAACACATGATACAAATGTTATAAATTGAGTTGCAGTTCAGTGGGTAAAATAAGTATATGATTCCCAAGCAAAACATGACTTAGTACTGGGTGGAGAAACCTTTGTTGGCATGCACAGAGGTAAGACGTTTCTTGTAGTTGGTCCAGGTTTACACACATCACAGGAGGGATTTTGGTTCACTCTTCTTTACAGATCTTCTGTAAATCCTTAAGGTTTCTTGGATGTTGCTTGTGAACTCAGAGTTTCAGCTCCCTCCATAAATGTTTAGAGGATTAAGGTCTGGAGACTGGCTAGGCCACTCCATGACCTTAATGTGCTTATTCTTAAGCTACTCCTTTGTTGCCTTGGCGGTATGTTTTGGGTCATTGTCATGCTGGAATCTTCAGTGTTCTGGCTGAGGGAAGAAGGTTCTCATCAAAGTTTTTACAATACGTGGCCCCATCCATTGGCCCTTCAATGTGACAAAGTTGGCCAGTACCTTTAGCAGAGAAACAGCCCTAAAGCATAATGTTTCCACCTCCGTGCTTGACTGTAGGGATGGTGTTCTTAGGGTCATAGTAAGCATTTTTCTGCCTCCAAACACAGCAAGTCGAGTTCATGTAAAAAGCTCAATTTTGGTCTCATCTGACTACAACACTTACTCTCAATCCTTCTCTGAATCATTTAGATGTTCATTGGAAATCTTCATACAGGCCTGTACATGTGCCTTCTTGAGGAGGAGGACCTTGCATGTGTTGCAGGATTTCAGTCCATGGCGACATATTGTGTTCGCAATGGTTTGTTTGGTGACTGTGGTCCCAACTTCCTTGAGATCATTCATAAACTCCTCCCGTGTAGTTCTGGGCTGTTCCCTCACTTTTCTTGTGATCATCCTTACTCCATGAGGTGAAATTTAGCATGGAGCTCCACATGGAGTGCAATTGATGGTTATTTTGTATTTCTTCCATTTGCAAATAATCACTCCAACAGTTGTCCCCTTCTCCTCAAACTTCTTGCTGATGGTCTTCTAGCCCATTCCAGCCTTGTGCAGGTCTACAATCTTGTCTCTGAAGTCCTTTGACAGCTCTTTGATCTTGTCCATGTTGGTGAGGAAGAATGCGATTCTGTGGACGGGTGTCTTTTATATATATAACTAGTTGTCATTAGGAGCACCTTAAATAGACGGGACAAATCTGTGTACCACATGAGCACATAGCCAGCCTGTGGGAGCCAGAATTATTGTTGGTTAGTAGGGGATCAAATACTTATTTTACTTACTGAACTACAACTCAGTTTATAACATTTGTATCGTGTTTATTTCTGGATTTATCATTTAAATTACTCCTATGATAAAATTATGGACCCTTCATTTCTTTGTAAGTGGGCTTACAAAATCTGCAGGGGGTTAAATAATGATTTTCCCCACTGTATTTGCAGAAAGAGAAAAAAAAGACTTAATGACTTAGAGTACAACCTTTGGAGGTGATATGAGAAACACCCAAAAAGAACTAACAGAGCAGAAGAACAAGTTGGGGGGGCCAAGGCCACCTCAGGTAGAATAAATCTGATTGCTAGGTTTCCTAGAAGGTGCAAAGACTAAACAACTGGAAGATTTTTGTAGTAATAGCTAAAGGGGGTCATAGACAGTAATGTGTTTTCATGCCTGTTTGCCATTGAGAGAGCTCATCGCATTCTAATGAGAGTTCCACTCCCCAGTGTAGTCTGCATATTACATTTCAGAGATAAAGTATCCTCAAAGCTGCAAGACCTACACAAGAGCTTCTATATAATGAGGACCACATATCGATCTACCCTGATTTCTCAGCTGTGATGCAAAAAAAATAAGCAAGTTTCCTGAATGTGAAAAAGAGCTTGAGATTTTAATCTGGTGTCAGTTATGTAGTACATTCCCCTTGTTGCAAGTCACAGACTGGACAGTAGAGGTACTTCTGATCCTTCAATTTGCAAATAATTAAGTGTTCTTGCATGGCGACCACTTCCTGTTATCTCACATATATATTCTTATTATTATAGCCAAATTTACCACCCTAACTCCTCCCACAGTTTTTACACTACATAGACCGTAATAT